GACCCCGAGCTCCATTCGAATCTCGTGATAAACCGCGAATTCCCATTCAGTGACATAGATGCAAGTTTAATACGGACGAACGGACCGGACACGAACAGATTACACCCACAGTACGCACCCTCCGTATTATCAGACAGTGCGGTGAGCAGACTCACGCACCGGCGGGAGTTCTCCTTGACCTCGTACGATAGTAGCGTATTTGATCCAGAAGAGTTTTACACTGCTTCAAGAGAGGCGTCACAATTAGACATGTCGCGTCGACCATCGAAAACACCGGGCAAACCAGAAACCGGGAGACAACCGACCAGCGACGATATCGACGATGAGATAATTCAGCTTCGAGAGATGATAGCCCCGCCAAGGGCAACAGAACAGCCAGAGACTAGCCGCGACGCGTTGTTAGGTGATTTACTAGCAGCAATACAAGCGTTAAACTATTGTGTCGGCCAGATAGAAGGCGCACGAAGAGAGAACCGCAACGAAACTCGACACCCGCCGGACAATGACACGCTCGACTTGACGTACGGGCGTACTAGCGAGGATATGCGAAATCAGCGCGGGTTTCCCGAGAGAAGAGGAGACGAATATATGAAGTTGAAAGAAGCACGCGGATCAATTCCAAAAACAGACGGATCGTCGCGAAAACAGGTACACGAATTTTTAAACGCGTGTGATTACGCAATGAGGGAAATAGAACCGGCAAAAGAAAAAGCGCTACTAAGAGCGATATTAGGCACTAAATTAACAGGGAAGGCCATGTACGACTTCCAAACGAGAGACATTCGCTCGTATGCTCAACTGAAGCAAGAAATAGAGGCGTGCTATTTGGCAAAAAGAAGCGCGTCGCACCTACTAAATGAATTTTATACGCAAAGGCAGAAGCCTGGCGAGAGCGCGCGCGAATACGGAGCACGCGTGGAAAAGCTATCAGTGGAGTTTTATCAGGCCCTGATTGAGGGCAAGGCGAGAACGATCGAACAGAAAAAGGCGATACAGGAGACTATACAGGGAATGGCCCTAGAGGTATTTCAGTTAGGACTTCGTGAGGAAACG